CATTAAATTTCAATTCGTATTTCCCTAACAGGGAAGATCTAAGACTAAGGGATTATCAAAACTAAATCAACATATGGGTTGCAAGCCTTAACTCCATAACCACTATGTTTTTTTTCGCAGGGTGTGCGTGCAAATCGCGCGGGAAGGCGAAAAGAAAACTAAAATTGCAAATGGGAGCGAAATGAAAATGGAAATGGAAATGATGGTGATGCAGGAGCAGAAGGAGCAGAAGGAACTAAGCCTTGAGCGAACATTACCGGCGATTACCCCGTTAGCGTTCACCGTTCACCGCTCACCGTTAGTGTGACGTTATTTGCCCCTCGAAACAAGCTTTTGCGGACGCGGATGCGGATGCGGATGCGAACATCCTCTTAAGCTCATCAAAGAACCAGAAACTGTAGTCGGAGAGCACCAGAACACAACAAAGTGGTGACAGACTAATTTCGGGGGAAAAAGACTCGGGGTTGGGCCCACAATTAAAAAAAAAGAAGTTTACAAAATACCAGCTTTAAGACAGTGTCACTAGATGAATTCCCTAGTTTAACGCACAGCACAGGAAAATCAATATCGCTGCAGATTCATTATGTATTCCTTGCCAACTTCTCGCAGTGGAGATGCCAATTAGAATGGAAACGCAGACAGCTTTGGGGAGCATTCGCAGGAGCGTGAAAAATCGTTGCCATTCGAATAAAATTTGATTATGCGACTTTAAAAAAGTTATCGCACAATCGAAGCGAACTGCCGTTTAAGTGATTAAGTGAGTAAGTTTCTAAACCATCCAATTACGCGCCAGTCAACTGGCCTGCTTGATTGCTTTACTGTTGATTGATTGATTGATTGACGCACCGACGTTGCGACAGGTGCGCTGAAGGATGGCTTTCAACCACTCTGCCCCACAACACCTCAAGAAACAGGCAACAGGTGACGGCAAAGTGGTAAAAGTTAAATGTAACACGCGATGGCACCTGCTATGCTTATAGTCCACGCATTAATTCGCTTACTCATTGGGAGCCTTAAATCCTTCCTCAAATCCGCCCTCCCGTTTTCCCCGTTGGCATTGTGTTTCGACTGGAGCACACACAGTACACAGGATCCCACTCAACCACACACCTGCTCCGGTGCAGGCTCCCAGGATTGTCGCTAACTGTTCGAGCGCGTTAAATGCAATAAATTGCATAAAACTTTGCACCTTCTGGGGGGATTCTAATTGGGGATGATGGCGTGAGGCGTTGTTATTCAATGTGGAATCCAGTTTGCGTTCGCGTTTGCCTTTGCAAGTATGGGTATGAATGGGGATTTATCACGTATGCAACCTGGTATCCTTGCTATCTTACAGAAAGTAACTATTTCAAAAAGCAATATTAAGTATACGTATACGTATATTAAGTATACGTATATATACCTCTGCAGTTGGAACTTAAATACTTTACTTACTTAGAACTTAAATACTTATACTTTATATTCACTGCGTTGCAATCTTCTGACTGAAATTATAATGCCCTCGAAAGGGTTTATAGAGGACGTCTTAAAATGCGAGCGCATTACGAGCTACTTGCAGCGAAACAATCGATTCTTTAAACTATTTTCATCTGGCAAAGCACGAACCACGGGAGCTAAGCTCATCTCTAATTTCCGCCCATTAACCCCGCAGAAGAACAGGAACAAGCTGGAAATGGGTGGAAGTGGGTGGAAAATGGGTGGAAATGGGTGGGTGGTGGTCATACATAAACTTAAAGCGCCAATGAGGGACATTACATTATTGAGTTGGCAATGGCCGTCGATGGTATGCGGTTCGGAGGATCCGGGAAGGTGCTGATGGAGATGGAAGTGCAGGTGGTGGACTCGTGGTGGTGGTGGCCTGGCGTCCTGGCGTCCTGACTCCTGCGGTGCGAGGCTTGGGCATTAGTTTGACATTTACTTGGGCACGTCGTTAGCAGCTGAGTGCCACATTCACCTACGCACGTGTGTGTGTTTGCGTCGCACTGCGAAACATCTACTGCAGTTCATTTCGCAGCACAGGTAATTATACTTATCAGTCCCATTGATACCTAAATTAAGTAAAATTGGTTAACCAAACCACTTTACTGATTTCCTTGCCACCCTTATCTGTTCTCATATTTTATAGCAAATAATTTCAAAAGCTCAACCTACTTAATTGTGCCGTCTTATCCCTCATCTTCCCATTGTGCCTGGCAGACAAATTATATTTATTCAGGGGGATTTCCTAGGCAAGATAATTTCTTTCGGTGTAACCAGGGAGCGTGTGTGCGCGAACGGCACTCTAATGCTCTTGCCATAGCTCGGCAATTCAAATAGTTGAAATTGTTTGAGCTTGATTTAGGCAGACACACCTCAACACACAAACGCACACACACACACACCTTGGACACAGCGTCAAGTTATTTGAAGCACTTTAGCAGTCAGCCCACCGCCCACCGCCCACCTCCTATCACATTCCACCCACCCAAAGCCACCCACTGAAAGCAGGCAGCCCTTACGCACTCGCTCATAATGTTTCCCCTGCCAGACCGAAAGCACAACAAATTAAGCCTTTTAACAAACACAAAGAAAAGTCCAATTTGTTGCGAAGTTGTGACGCTGTCCAAAATGCAAAGCCGTTAACTACAACACTCTACACAGGGAGAAATGTGAGTGAGACCGAATAAATGAATAAAGAAAATACCTTCTACATATATACCTTCTATTCGTATGCAAAGATTGCAACAGCAATTTCATTTCCTTGTTACTAGTCTCAGTTTTCGCTTTACTGTTGGTTTAACTTCCGTTAAAGCTAATTTTTAACAGTGTACCTCCCGCTCTGAACACACTTCGCACCCCACGGCAGTCGGAGGTGAAAAACTTTTGTCGCTCGCCCCGCCGGCTTCTGTTTGACTTAGATAATAGCGCAATGAAATTTGCGTACACCCCCAATAATTCCTCACGAATCTGTTTCGCCTTTTCGCATCCGCAGCTGATGAAATTAAACAAATTGTAGTGTGGAAAAATTTCAGTCTTGGCGAGCAGCTTTCGTCATGTCTTTTATGGCCACTGGGCATGGTCATGGCCCTCTGGGGAAAGTGCCCGGAACAGGCGGTGCGGTGCGGTTGGGGGAAAGGGGAAAGTCGAGGGGTTTGGATTGGCGGGGCAAAGCTTCTTTTGAATGAACGTCCTCCTTTAGCAGTTTAAATACTGCTTCTGCCTGACAAATTCTTCTTCATCTTAATTAAATACGGTAGAGCAGCATGAAAAAATCATTTCGTGCAAGTGCAAGACAATCCGGATTTCACAAAAGCCCTACAAGAATGTCTCTGGCAAAAGGGCTTTTGGCTTTTAAAATTTAATCAAAAGCAAATAGCACTGTTACAAATCATTTTTTAAAACATATTTAGGATGCTTTGAAAAGCATTTTATGCAAACGAAATGGTACTCAAAATTATTATAATTAAAAGCTATAAATGAAATTTTTGTGACTAATTGATATAATTTTGACTTTATATACAAACCAAAGAGAGTCATTAAAACAAGAACACATCAACTTAGGCAACAAATAGGGACAAATGCTTACGAAGCAAACTATGCTTTTCAAGAAACCTTCAACCGCTCAGATATTAGTCAACAGTACTTTATTCCTTAAAGTCGGCCTTAAGCTCCCGCTGGGGGCTTAGGCTTAGCCCCTACTAATTACTCGTTTTGCCAGATTCTTCCGCTCGAGGCCTGTATAATTTCTATAAAATCCTGATCTATGCCACACGAATCCCACGCGCCCCCACTGTGCCGGCCGAAATTCTGTGAAAATAAATCGCAGCACACGCCAAAAACCAAGCCAGACCAGAGCAACCCGACCAAACCAGACCAGACCACAGCACTAAGCTCCTACATGAGTAATCGTAATCCCAAAAAGTTCTGCAGGGAAACCAACTCATAACCCGTAATCATCGCAATTAGTTTAGCCCGATGACGACGACAATGGTTGCCAAGTCGGCAAATGAAAATGGGAATGGGAATGGAAATGGCGAGCCAGCGTAAATCACAGAGGTTCTGCCATGCCGTCATAGTTGCAAACCAGCCATCAAAACAGGTGCGAATTGAAAACCTGCGAATAGCGACTTTCAAATACCTCTAAACAAATGGATACAAAGTTTTCCAGAAGCTATTTTTGTATCAAAAGGTGTGCTTAGTTCTTAGTGTGATGATTGCTTACGAAACCACTAGGAGTTGTTCTTTCATTTTAAACGAAAGCGAAACTAAATGAAGGGAAGCATTTAGTGGTTCAACAAAATGGAAATATTTGGTGGTTCAACAAACTGAATATATTTAGAAGTTCAAGCAAACACTCCAACTTATTCAGGCATACAGACTTTCCAACAAATCAACACACCCAAAGGCGATTTCATTTAAGGGGAACGACAATCAGTAAACCGAATCACGGTAGGAACAAAGCCTCTCGTTCGCGTGGACAGTCGCAGGCGGAGTGATCACATATACGACGGGGGCCTGATGCTGTTGTTACTGTTGATGATGCGGGCGATAAGAAGCCCATAAACCGCTAAACAAACAGGGAGGCGTTTAATTGTTTTCATGCCTGCCCGAAAGCGGAGGGTCGATGGATGAAAGGCTAATTTCATGGGGTCAGCACTTACGAAGGGAGGCCTGAGACACTAATGAACTCCGCGCGAATATTTCGAGCTAACCATCAAGGCTGGAACTCAGTAGCTCCCCATGCACGTACCAATCGTAATACCTCAGCATGGCTTTTTTCCATTGACTCAAGGGCTGCAAGCAAGAGTGAACTGCTCTTTGATCGCTAATGGCTGCTGAACATACTGTAGGGTGGGGATTCCTGTGTAGGGTAGTCCCTAGTCGCTAGACAATCGAGATCTGCGTTGGCATCGTTGTTTTTCCCCAGTGATTGTCAAACATGAGATGATTTAAGGCCCCAGCGCCGTCCCAAAGATATAACGTATCCGCCCAACGCCTCAAGATCAGTAAGCAGGGGCAGTCCAAGCACTAAGCACTAAGCACGATGAGTGAATCCAGGGAGGCCGGTGAGCCCAAGTTGCCCAAGATCAAGGAGCAAGAGGAAGATCCTTCCCAGAAGGAGGCCGCCTCGGACTTTGAGACCGCCATCGATGCAGCTGGCTTCGGCATGTTCAACATCCTTCTGCTGTTCGCCGCCATTCCAGCGGCCATGGGCACCGTGTACGAAACCTCCACGATGTCCTACATCCTGCCCAGCGCCGAGTGTGACCTCAAGCTTAGCCTTCTGGACAAGGGTATCCTGAACGCCATCACCTATGCGGGCATGATCAGCTCGGCGGTGATGTGGGGCTACCTGGCCGACACGAAGGGCAGGAGGAATCTCCTCATCCTGGGCTACGCTGCGGATACGATATGCGTGTTAGGCGGTGCCTTCAGTCAAAACAGGATCCAGCTAATGATCTTCAAATACCTAGGGGGCTTCTGGTGAGTAGCTGTCTAATTGAAGATATCAATGACTGAACTTGGGGTTTGCAGCATGAGTGGTCCGTTTGCCGTGCTGATGACGTACCTGACGGAACTCCATGGACGGAAGCACCGTCAGCGCATCATGATGGTGGTGGGCATTATGTTCTCCATCGCGACGCTTACGTTGCCCGGACTGGCCATGTTGGTTTTACCCCAAACCTGGGACCTTCGATTCTGGACCTTGTCCCGTAAGTTCCGAGGGCGTGGTTTGAATCTAACTGTGATAAGGTCAGCGATAAGCGAAGATAGCTCCTAACTATAAACCAGATAGGCTACCAGAAAACAGCTGATGACAATGCAGGCCCCATCCCCCATTGTGCAATCAGTCAAACGTTACATGAACCCCACGCTTTTGCTGTTTTTTAAGCCATCTGTGTATATAGCTTTAATCATTCGGAACAGAAAATCAGTAACACAACAACCGATATGGATAAAGTATATGGGGTAGAGTAGTAGCATCAACTGTGTTTAAGATTAGGTTATAAACTTTATAACCAGATATCAAACAGGTGTTGTAGACACCAAAACAAATACTACAAATTACAGCTATTGGCTAAGAGGATCTTACTTAAAATCTCTTATCTATTTCAGTGACATCCTGGCAGGTTTTCGTGGCCATCACTGCACTGCCCAGTCTTTTGAGTTTTATGCTCTTCTTTTTTTCCCCGAAAGCCCGAAGTTTCTCATGTCCAAAGGACGGAATCAGGAGGCAATGGATGCTTTCAAGTTTATGTACTGTCTAAATTCGCGAAAACCCAAGGACTCTTTTCCAGTAAGTGAAAAGTTTACAAAATCGATTAAAGCAATTAAACTCTACTCAATTGACCCCCTAACAGATCAAACTGTTGGCCAATGAAGTTATTGTTCCGGTGAAAAAGCACAAGGAAGGAATTTCGGATTCCTCTGAAATAAAACTGCCCATCAGTAATGGTCAAACTCAGGACCCTGAGAGTCAGGGCTCCAAAAAGAGTTCGGGTTTCACTCAGCTCCGTCCACTGTTCACAAAGCCCTACTTGGGCCTATCTCTTTGGGTCTACCTCCTCAACTTTTGTGTGCTCTTGGGGTAAGACTTCCCACGCTACACAGATAAACATAAAACTAATAAACATATTTTATCGTTTTAGGCAGAACACTATGCGGTTGTGGCTGCCACAGCTTTTCGCATCGATCAACGAGTACGAACAGCTAGCGACCCGATCGGAATCGACGAGTATTTGCAGCATCCTGGAGTACAGTGTAAACCGGACCCAAATTCAGCTGGAAGCTGCCACTAGGAACGATCCCCAAGTGGAGTGCCATGTCAACATAACTGCGTCCACATACACCAACAATCTAATTGTGGCTGCAGCTGGTTTGGTTGCATACATGCTGGCTGGATTCCTAGTGAATTTAGTTGGCGTCAAACGAATCATGAGTAAGTTCTTGAGAACTATGTCGGTATTTAGGCTGTATATGCTTCAATAATGTGATTTATACTTCTTATTTTAGTCATGGGACTGTTTGCCGCCGGATGCTGTTCCATTGGAATGTACTGGTCCAATTCAGCGCTATCGACAGTGGCCCTTGCATCGCTTTTCGTGACCATGGGCAGCATATCGGCCACCTCGGTGATCAGTGCCTCGGTCAACCTGTTTCCCACCTCACTAAGGTGACTTTTGTGCCTTTCCGGCTTGGGTTTTCAAAGACATAATAATTTATTTATTACCTAGGACGATGATCGTCTCGCTGGAAATGATGTTTGGCCGGCTGGGCTCACTGTTGGGCAACATTTTCTTTCCGGCTTTGATGGGATTGGGTTGTGTGCCACCGTTTCTCATGATTAGTGCGTTCATGCTGGGTAAGTGGCTCGAAATTCGTCTGAACGGCGGACTAATCCTTCCTCTTTTTACAGCTGGCTGCCTGATGTCTGCTTTTCTGCCACTAAAGAACAAGGCTGCTTTGAAGTGAGCGCTAATGCCGCCGTCATCACAAGTTTCTTACCCAGTTTCCATTCCACTGCTGTACATAGTATTTAACTTAATTCTTAGTTTAGTTCACCGTGCCTACACTTTTACTCTCTTGCAGGAGTTACAATATTCAGGGAAAAATCTCATCTTCGGTGCAGTCCGATTACATAAAACACATAAAGTGTCCCTTGTGAACCTCTAATTATTTATTATTTAAATCATATTCGGCTTTGCCTTTGGTCGACCTGAATATTAATCGCGATTTCAGTCATTTCAATCTGCAAGGGTATTAAAAATGTGCGGCCAGTCAAAGTCTTCCCTGTTTCCAAGTTATCTCCATTTTTTTTTTTTCCTTTTTTTTTCGTTTGTTTGTATTGTCCTTTTCCCTTGGTTTAATTAACAGTTAATTTATTTTAGATTGGAAGTTTCTAGGATTAAGCAATTTGTATGCAATTTCGTTTTGCTTGTCAATTACACGAACTCCTCTCCATCAATTTCCATAAACCGCCGGCACTTATCAATGCATCCTTGGGTTGAAAAGAGGACTCCGGTTCTCTGATGTCCTGCCACTGACTTGACGTTAAAAGTGAGTGCACAAGAAGTCAAGCAGCAGGAAATGCAGACGGGGATCGGAGAAATTGGCAGCTCTGGCTTATCACGTTTGCCAGTATAACATTGCGACATTCCAGCCAGGATAAATTGAGTCCAATAGAAGGACTCGAGTGTGGCTGGAGTAACCTTTATTCATTGACGAAGAAAATGGAGACCAATGGCTCATTCATTCGCACACAAGCACTTGGCCTTTGTTTTCGGCAGGGTTATTAATTAAATCCATCAAACCCCTCAAAGCTTCTTTACTTAAATTGAAAATCAATCTTTTGCATCTTAAATTCGAGAACTTGAGTATCTCCGTTGAGCACTTAAATGCAATATAAACCTTATGGCAAACGATAGGATTTAAGAAAAATAACACATTTATGTGTCTTTGGACTTGCATTGCTTTGCGATTTAATTAATTAATCCACTCAGTCATAGATTTTGAGTAATTGCCGAACCAGAGAGAATCGCTTAACAAGAAAAACGATTAGTGCCAGAAATACCATCAAGAGCCCATGCCTTTTTAGGCGATGAAGTATATAAAAACAGTAAAGCTTCTTCAACCGACACGCAGTCCTAAGTTAACATGTCTTTAAGTCGAAATAAATAAAGTGAGCAAAGCAACTGCTTTATATCTGGTCATCTCAAACGGCCATTTATCTGCAGGGAACTGGGGGTTTGGGGTACGGAACCTCCACTGTACCATAATCGCCCCCAATGTCCTCCAGCTGGAGGAGACCCCGTCAGCCTTATCTTTGCTAGAAAGCGTTGATATACGAGTGCGCACTCAAGCCAAATGGAAATGCTAATTATCTAACAACGGAGCCGCTCAACTTGAAATCTGAATCTGAATGCGGCGGGGGCGTTTTGGAGGCCCGTCTTCTAGCAGCCGATATGCCATGATTTCACAAATGCCTGAAATCAGACAAGACCCACGGAAAGTTTTAATTAAAAACTTTTGGCTGTGACTTTTAAAAGCCAAGGCGAGGCGGCTGCTAATGCGATGCTAGAGCATCGATAAAGTCCCTCGGAGACCTGAGGTGAACCTCCACAGGTTGTTTTTCCTGAGAGCAACGAACGATTTGCGTCACGCTTACACTCTAAAAAATGACTGAGATTTATGGATTATGGAGATTTATCGTCAAAAATCAAAACCAAACCTTGAATGCAGTTTAAAACACAAACTATAGCAAAAGAGACTTAAAAAGTTTTACATCCCACCACAAATTGATTTACAATTATAACTACCTTCGTTTGCAAATAAATTTTTCCATGAAAATGGAAAACAAATAGTAAAGAAAACCTTGCAAAATGTATACTGCCCTTGGCAATCAACCTATTATTATATGTATTTGAAAAAAAATATAGACCAAAAACTATTGCCAAATACGAAATAATATTCACACTTCTTTTTTGAAGTGCAGATGTAATCTTATCGGAGGCGAGAGCGCACGTCCATAAATTCCGGCCCGCGCGAATTCCGGCTCCAGTGGTTCAAGATGAGTCTAAGCAACAAGGTGGTGATCGTGACAGGAGCTAGCAGCGGAATCGGTGCGGCAATCGCCCAGGTTCTGGCTCGTGAGGGTGCCACCTTGGCGCTGGTGGGTCGCAATGTGGCCAACCTGGAGGCCACGAAGAAGAACCTGAAGGGCGCACAGGCGGAGATTGTGGTGGCCGACGTGACCAAGGACGCGGACGCGATTGTACAACAAACGTTGGCCAAGTTTGGCCGCATCGATGTGCTGGTTAACAACGCCGGCATTCTCGGCAAGGGCGGCCTCATCGACTTGGACATCGCCGAGTTCGACTCGGTGCTGAATACCAATCTGCGCGGTGTTATCCTGCTGACCAAGGCGGTGCTGCCGCATCTCCTGAAAACAAAGGGAGCCGTCGTCAATGTGAGCAGCTGTGCCGGAATTCGGCCGTTTGCCGGTGCCCTAAGCTATGGCGTTTCCAAGGCGGCCCTCGACCAGTTCACCAAGATCGTGGCCCTCGAGATGGCGCCGCAGGGCGTGCGCGTCAACTCGGTGAATCCCGGCTTTGTGGTCACCAACATCCATCGCAGTATTGGCATCGTTGACGAGGAATACAACGGAGTGCTTCAGCGGGCCATCAACTCGCATCCCATGGGCCGCGTGGGCGATGTCACCGAAGTCGCCGAGGCCGTGGCCTTTTTGGCCAGCTCCAAGGCCAGTTTCACCACCGGCGCCCTGCTTCCCATCGACGGTGGCAAGCACAATCTGACGCCTCGTTAAGCGTGCCCTCCGTAATTACGTTTCCTCCATTATTTCCCTCACTTCTTTTTTTTTTTGTTGTAATAAATAAGTTGTAACCACACTGAACAAACTGAACAAAAGATGTGTATTACAAGTGGGGGCAGAAATTTTGCAGGTTAAAAAGTCTGAGTGGGTGAGTTCCCAGTTTAGAGCCAGCCAATTCACCTTAAAACTATAAGTAAGCGTTCAACCTATATATAGTATGCTTGTTTTATTTGAAATTGTGAAAAGCGTTACTGACCTTTCTATGAAAGGTGACCGCAACATTTCTCAGTAACTATGCTTAGTATCAAAAGCAACCTTTATTATTTATTTCTAGTATCAAAAGCTACCTTTATTATTTCTGTTTGGAAAAAGTAACCAATTTTGATTGTTTCCCTAATTGATGTTATATTTTGTTGAGTGCCTGAGTGGGTTTGTTTGCGGGGGTGACCCCAATGACCGCCATGGTTGCTGTGTCAGACACTTGACAGACTTATCGGACCTATCATCAGTCGGCTGTTGATAAGATACGGTGTCAGCAACAGAAGAACCAGACCGCAGAGCTGTTTGTTGCGGTTTAATCAACACCGCCTTCTTATCAAGAAGCACTCGAAGATAACTGGGGATTTCACTACGTATCCGAAGGCATGCAGGGGGTAAGCGCGTGTTCCCCACTGCGGTCAACGTTTTTGTACGTTGGTAATGTAGGTCATAATTGTCATTCACTCAACAGCCCGCGCCCCTTAGAAGAACGTAAGATACGGGACATTGGGACAACTTTGGGACGAGCTTTAAGGGGATTGGTGAAAAGTTCTTAAGCTCGGCAAGAAGATATTAAGCAAAAAAGACTTTTCCAGCAGCTTCTAAAAAATATTTAGTAAATATACCAGAATTAAGTTTTTAAGAATAAACATCGTAGGATATTTTCAACTTTATATAAGTGATTTTCCTGTTGTTTTCAATTCAATACCTTAACATAACTTTAAATTTAAAACCTTTTACCCAAAATTTTAACAAAATTTGTAGTCTTTAAAAAATTCTTTTAAGTGGACATATTTAAGGTAAATCAGAGAACGTCAAGATACGGATATTTCAGAACCTTTAAAACTTTAAAGCCCAGTTAGAAATCTTCTTCTTAAAAAGAAAGCACCAATAGCTTTGAAACGGAGCAAAAACTTAAAAAACTGAAACCTTTTACCTTTGTTAAAAAGCTGCTTTTGGGGTTGAAGGTATGCAAGTTCGAAGCTTTTTCAGCAATCAAGGATAGCAACCCAACCAGCTGCTCTAGAAAAACAGCTTAAAGCTACACTTTCCACCCCCAAACTGCCGGAAAATCCAAATGGAAATGCCTCAAATAGTCGAGAATCGGGAGAAACTAGCAGTGCGTCAGAAGCCGTAGTCGCGCGCTCATCGTTTCAGCCACACACCCCCAAGGAACCCAAAATTCTCAAAAGCTAAAAAGGAAGAGCAGAAAAGAGCAAGGGAGCTGGGCCAGCTGGCACAGAAAGCGGAACAAGCAACCGATTGATTTTTCTCGAGCAAGGGAAACACGGAAAGTCCGAGAAAAACAAGAGGTCAGGTTTCCACTAGCATTTCCATATGGAAATGAAAATGGCGGAGGCGCAGGAAGCCCAGGGGCCGAAGGACTCCTCCCTTACCGCCGAAGGACAGCTGCCAGCTGGATCTGTTTCCATCGAGGACGAGGAGGAAGAGGAAGTGGAGGCCGAACAAGAACAGCAGGAACTTCTGAGCGAGCGATGGTCGCCGCTAGGAGCCAACTACGATGATGCGAATAGCGCCAGTTCTGGCGTGGACTGCGAACTGGAACCGGGACCGAACAAGGTAGAAATGCGACGGGGCAGCACTGGCAGTGAACTGGCACGCTTGCGAAGTATCGAGGAGGAGCAGGAGTTGCTCACCAGTTCCCTGCTGGCGCTGACTTCCCACTTCGCCCACGTCCAGCTGAGAGTTCGCCAAATTGTCGAGGCGCCAGCCGAGGAGCGAGATCAACTGCTCCGCGACCTCGAGGATTTTGCCTTTCAAGGCATACCGGAGGCAGTGCAGCCCAAGGAGTCCCATCCGGAAAGCGACGCCACTGAGAGTGAAAACGAAGCTGTGCCTGCGAACGACAGCCAGCTCATCGAGCAACTGAAGTCCCAGCTCACAGAACTAGAACAAATTGCCTACGAGGCTGGGGAGCCCGGGATTCTGCCGCAGCATGTTATGCTTGAAAAGCAAAAGTTCATCCTGGACGAGCTGCGATCCAAGCTCAATCTCCAGGTGGAACAGCATGAGCTGCCGGCCCTCAGCACGGAGCAGTTGCGCCACCAGGTGGACAACGCCATCGGTGAGTTCGTGGGCCCGCTGAAAATGAAGGAGCAACTTGTGGCGCAACTCAAGACGCAGATCACCGACCTGGAGCGCTTCATTGCCTTTCTGCAGTGCGACGCGGTCGAGGGATCTGTTGGAGATCGCCTAAAGCTTCTGTCCGGAGCGTACAATAGCTACGCGGCCAAGCAGACAGCCCGAAGCTCACAGGCAGGGTCAATTGCTCCGGTTTCGGGGGTGCCCAACACTCCGGCCACAACAGCAGCTCCTCCTCAGTCCTTTGGATTGGGTTCGCACTCCAATTCAACCGGGGAAAGCCTGCACAGCAAGGCGCACGGATTGCTGGACAAAGCCTCGATCCTTATGCAAATGTTTGCCAGCACCCATATGACGAAACCACGCAGCCACGACGATTTCCAGCAAAACTCGCTGAAGAAGACGCACAAGGGCAACCACTGGGGGTAAGATCAACATACGAAATATTTCCTTTCTGTTTATACTAGAAGATTATTCACTGCTAGAAGCTGTTAGATATTTTTCAAACGGGCTTAGATTCAAAATCAGAGAGGTTTTCTTCGTAAAAATAAAAACCAAATCATTATACGTAGACTAGAATATCCCAACAATCTATCCCAACAAATTATAGAGAAAGAACCAACCTGACTGAATATTACACCCGTTTCAGCGACTTGCGGGCCCAGCTTGAGGTGGACATCCAAGAGGTGAGCGCCCTGGCCGCCACTTTGAGCTGTGATCGCGAGAAGTTGGCCAATATTAAGCGGGCTTTGCGTCAGCAGCAACAACGAGCTGTGCCCACTTCCACTTCTTCCTCTACCGCTGGTCATCCGGTTATTAATTCTCAAAATGGCGCTCTGACCACTTTGCCTCCACGCTGCCGGCGGGCGGTGCCAACTGGCCATGAACTGGCGCCATACGCGGCCGGTGGAGCCATATCCTCCGATTCCGACGAGGACATCAGCTACTCCAACTTCGAGTGGGAGAAGGAAGGGAAGAGCCGACGGGTGGCACACATGCGCGGTGACTCCATAGCAACAATTGGCAGAGAACTGGCCACAGTGGTGCGAAAGAACTTTGCTCGCACTCTGCAGCAGCTTATCCAACATGGACTACGCATCCCAGCCGAGTCGGCTGCTTCCAGTTTGATAGTTCCATTTATGAGGTGTCTACATCCTTCGCCTCCGATGGGTTCACCGACAGCTGGCGCAGACTCGCAGTATCTCGGCTTAGGCAGATCCATGCACGCCTGGGAATTGGTACTAGCCTATTATAGGTTGAAACACGGTGAGGAGTACAACAACACGCCTGCCCGCAAGTTGTCGCAGAGTTTTCAGTTGGACATCGTGGACGCCCAGGCGGTGACCGCCAAACAGAGTTTGCTCAGCACTGTGGGTATGATTTTGGCCATGCACCGACCGTACAAAAGGAGCAACAATGCCCACTTCAAGGCCTTCGTCTGCGCCGGACTCAAGTGAGTAGTATTTCGGCAAAGCTAAATTATGGGAAATCATAGGAAAGTTAGTAAAATACATGTTTATCGGAATTTAAAGATTGCTTAACTACCCTTAAACTATGCAACTGTTTTATTCATTCATTCATCACTCATTCAATTCAGTAGATTTCTGATTTTTCGTAATAATGCATAGAAATATTAAGACAAAGACAACTGCAAGAGCTCCACAAAATATGCCCTTCAAATAAATAGTTAAATTATCTTGAAGTCTACTTTTTCCATTTAAAGCATTACAAGGTACCAGACAAAGTTTTAAGCAGAAACCGAATATTTTTGTAAAGAACAGACATTTTCCACTTCAGTAAAAATTAAATTATAATCTTACTTCTCCCATTTGAACCGATTTTTTTCTTTAAAACAGCTCCCATTTGCTGGTGGAGTGGCTGAACCTGATTCTTAGCTGCAATGAGCTGGTGCACACGTACTACTCGGCAGACAGCTATGTGGCCCGAACGGGATTCCGGGACTCGCTCCGCTCCATTGACGCTCTGTCTCGATTCGACTTTGACCTGCCGGTGGACCTTGCCATCCGGCACTTCCGCAACATCTAGGCGTCTGACTTGTAAATTTTTTGGCTTAGACTAGATCACATTATTCAATGTCCAAAGTGGACTTTAGTCCAAATCGTATTCTCTCTCTCACTTATTGTATAAACTCGTGTATATAACTTTAGATATGTCCCATTAAATCAATTGCTAATCCTAACGAAACTGTGTGGTGTAGAACTCGTGCAGGCACTGGCTAATTTTTTCACCCAGCGGACGTCCCAGAGGACCACATGGGATGCCGGAGAGGAGAAGTCTGGCCTGTTTTGGCTCTGTACACTCTTCGTAGGCATCTAGCAGGCAGCGTGGTGTTGGGTATCGCTCCACGATGGCCATGGCTCGCTCGAGGGAGAGAGAATGCAGTTGCAGCAACTGTTGCACAAAGACCTCTCTCACTGTAAGCTGGGCGTTTTTAGCAGAATCCTCGTAGAGGGCTCGGAACTTGAGTAATCCCAACTGGGAATCCAAAAGTAGGCAAGACGATTTGTCTGTGCGATCTACGCTATACAGCCTTTTGCTGGCGAAGATCTGGCCCAGGGAGCGACCCATCCCAGCCAAATAACTCATGGATCGGTAGTGGTTCTCCGTGCGCACAACCTGGATACCAGTTTGAACCCTAGCGTTTGCCAGAGCCTGCTGCAAGGAGTCCAGGGGCAGACCCAGTTGCTCATTGTCTCCGTAATCCTCCACCAGGTAGACGATGTTTCTCAGGCCGCTCTGCTGCAGCCTGTGCTTCTGTTCGTGGAAGCGACCGTCGCGAATACTTGATGCCAGATCATCCATTCGCTTGCGCTCTATAATGTGGGGCAAGACGAGCTCGTTGCCCTTTTGATCCTGAGCTATCCAGAGAAAATCGCCAATGGTGAGACGACGCACTTCGTGACGAACGCCCAGCGACTCCAGGTAGTTTCTCGTTTGGTCTAGCACCCTCTTGTTTTTGCCACTCGTCTCCTGGGTGTCGACTAAAAGCAGTAACTTGAATTCACCTGGATTCATCTCCACCTGGCGCTCCCGCTCCTCAAGGGCCGCCAATTCCAACTGCTCCTTTTTTGTGGGCTTTTTGGGCTTGACCTTTTTATTCTGGACAACCAGTTGCTTCTCTTGTACCTGGCGGACGACCTCCTGCACTTGCTGCTCGTAGTGTTCTTGGACTTTGTCCTCCCGGGGCACCAACTGCAGGCCTCGATGCTGACGCAGCTCTTCGTCGATCAACTGGCAGAGTGAACCTCCAAATCCCCGCAAAATCGAGCAATCGCGCCCACTCGCCAAGGGAAGCGGATAGCTTTTCAGAGACTCTAGCGCCTGGCGGAGTTTGAACTGCGACTTCTGCTGACGCCTCTCCGCTTCTCGCAGCCAGCGTTCAAGCCAGCGGGTAAACAAGGCATTCGGCTCACGCAGGCGCACTTCCAAACGGGTTTCCATCTGCATTTAAACACTATTATTTAGCAATTTAGCAACAATGAAAATTCAAGTCCAACTAAAACTTTCGCGCGTCTTTTTTGTTTTATTTTGGTCTGGCAATGTCGGCTCTATTGATGGCAATTTCTTAACTATCGTCTGGTAATAATCGGAGGCTGGAGAGTTATCGATTGTTACCGCTAGCAGGCGCACGTTTGTTTTGCACCTTGATTCTATTTTGTTTTGTTTTGGCGTTGAAGCAAGATAAACCCTTGTCTACAATGTCTGCCGGAGTTGAGGATATTAAGCTGGAGTCGTTGTCCCTCGATGAGGGCATCCGCGAGTCGCCGGTCTGCATAATTGTGCTGGGAATGGCCGGCAGCGGCAAGACCACGTTTACCCGCAGTCTCATCCAGCATGCCCAGGACAAATTTAATCCTTACGTGGTCAACCTGGATCCGGCGTGCCGGGAGGTTCCGTATGCAGCCCATGTGGACATCCGGGACACGGTCAACTACCGCGAGGTGATGAAGCAGTATCAGCTGGGCCCAAACGGCGGCATTGTAACCGCCCTGAACATGTTCACCACCAAAATGGCCCAATTCGCTGAGCTAGTGCGTCGCGCCGGCCAGCGGGGACACAAATGGTGTGTGATCGACACTCCCGGACAGATTGAGGTGTTCACTTGGTCTGCATCCGGTAATATAATTACCGAAGGACTGGCCACCATGTTCCCTACCATCGTCATCTACGTGATGGACGTCGTGCGTAGCGCCTGTCCCACCACGTTCATGTCCAACATGCTCTACGCCTGCTCCATTCTGTACAAGACCCGGTTGCCCTTCCTGGTGGCGCTGAATAAGGTAGAGTTTCCCTCAGTATCCGTGGCCCGTAGGTAATCCTTTCATCCAATTCAGATCGACCTGCAAGACTGCAGCTTTGTGCTGGACTGGATGACGGATTTCGAGACCTTCCAGGAGGCTCTAGAACAGGAACAGAGCTTCGTGAGCAATCTCACTCGCACAATGTCGCTTACTCTGGACACTTTCTACGAAAACCTTAACACTTGTGGCGTTTCGGCTAAGACGGGCGTTGGTTTTTCCCAGCTGCTCGGAAAGATTCTCGATTGTGAGACTGAGTACCTGCGGGACTACAAACCGGTGTACGAAAAGATGCGCCAGGAGCGACTAGCGGAGCAGGCAGCAGGTCACAAACCAACTGAGAATGTAGAGGAGGCAGGCGTTGCTGTTCCCCTGGGATTGGGTCTTCAGGTGGGAAAACTATTTAAGCTGTTTGCAAACATACTCAATGGCTTTTAACTGTTTAAGGACCCACCCTCAAACTCTGCAAACAGCGTATTCCTAATGGCACCTGGTCTTGTGCCCCAAACCGCCGAGAATGAGCAAGAAGAGGATATAGAGGAGGACCCCAAGGGCACCATGGAGGACCAAAACTTCCAAAGCTTCGTACAGAATCACCTGAACATACAGCAAAGTAAGCGAGATAAACTGCAGCCGGGACAGTCGCAGCCCTAAAGTGATATGGAATAAGTTTTAGTTATAAGCGGTAAAGATCTGTTTTCGTTAATATAGATTCATATTCTAAGAAATGTATAATCGATTTTTTATATGAAAAACCAAGGGGAATTCCTTATCTAAAGATATTTTCCACTAATCCCTTATTATCGAAACATTTCGAACTTAATACCTCTTTTTTAGTTTATTTTTTAAATATTCACTTTAACAAGCAAAAACATTCAATATACTGTGTGTGTTTGTCATTTTCCGCCGGATATCTGTTTTGTATACATGGACTTAGTTTAGCTTTGCAAATTAGTGATAACATATACATATGGAGGATATATCCTGCTCGTAAATGTAAATGCAAGCCTTATACTTTGCGTTACATATTATTGTATATATATATATTCATATATATATATACTTATCTATAATTGTATATATATATTATGGGTGTGTATATGTTGAGCAAATCATTTTTGTGTTGCGAGTGACGCTATATAGTTGCTTCTCTGGATTTGTTTTGTTATTGGTTGTCGCTTTAAATATTACGCTTACAAAAATACAGATCTTCTCAAATACTTGTCAATGCTTCACAGTTATACACAGTTATATAGACATACATTAGTCCCCCGCTACGAACTTTATTCCCTCCTCGGTTTTACTGCCCCATCTGGATTTCCTTGGCAAGCTTTTAGAGTGCTCTTTGGTTACAAGCTGTGAAGGATCCTAGCCCGGATTCGAATCAAGATATAGATCCTTGCCCAGGCGTAAATGCATCCCTCAATAGTTTAGTGCTGGAAATCAATTATAGTCCTCACTTGATACATAATTAGAAGCACTGCTTGCGCAAAAAATATACTCGTTTCTGGACGTTTTCATTTGATTTGAGTGTGCTTTCCTAGGGTTCACACGATCTGGTGACATTTCTAGCTTATATATCTTACGAATTTTCCAAGTAAATTTTTAGCGGTACAATGCGATTTAGAGTTGCAAGGTAGTGTTCAAGGTGGTTTAAAAATTATTCTAATCGCTTTTTGGAGTAAAATGATGTTTAAAAAAGCTCGCTTAAGCTTAAAAAGTACATATTTTAGATGAATTTTGCATATTTGCATACATTTGTATATATATTTTACTAGGACCTTGAAACCCTGAAACGCACTGTACCTGTAGTTCGTTCACTTAACTTTTGTGATAAATGGAAAGTTTTCGTTCCTTAAAAATTTCTGATTTTCCAACTCAAATTATAGAGCTAGCTCATGCATATATTATGAATACTTTATATTTACTTTTATATCCTTATAGATCATGAAATTAAGCTTTCTTACGCACACACACACACATACACTCACACACACACTGAGACGCACACAACAATTGGGCAGGGGAAAAAAATACTTTCGAAAAAAGATTTATCAAAGCAGGAAACATTTTTTGGAAAACTATACAGATTAGCTCGCTTGTGATGTTGTTTCAGAAACAGTCTTCTTCATTTTTGGATTTCTTTTAGTTTTTTTTTTTTTGTTTCATTATCCGCTTGCTTTTTTGGAGAAAGGGATGAAGAAACATAACAGAGAAAGTTTTTGTGTTTCGGGACTGCGATCAGTTTTTTAGCATATATGCTTGGCTTTTTGGACAGCGCTGAGATCCAATATACATATTATAAATTGTGGGGCATTCTTAGCTTAAGATCTAGGTAAATACGTGCCTGTCTCAAAAACGAAAGTGAACAAAATTTCATCAAGCTTCGATCGCTTGAGCAGACCGAATAACAAAATGGTTAAATCGAAGATTAATTGGGAAAAATTTGGGAATCACCTAGACGAGCTTAAATTAATCGTCATCTGACATATTGGCGGTAGTAAGCAGAGTAGCGTTATCCTCGGCGCCCTGCTCCTCGATGTCCTGAAAGAATTGCATACATAATTGGTTAGTAAGGTTTAGTTTTTGTGGTGTTTGTGATTAATCTCAAATTAACTTCTAGACCCCTAGTTCAGTAAAATTCCCAAACTCTCAGTTCGTGTAAATAACCATAATTAATATTCATAACACAAAAAAATAAAATGTAGAAACGCAATATTTTCCTCACCTTCCAAATAAAACTCTCTGTAACCTTTACCAGTTTCTTATACAAAATATATATTTAGCAAATATTTTGTTTAATTCGGTACAATCTTGTTCTTTTTCATCTATTCCCTTTGTTAAGTTCTCTCTTTCTTTCGTTTTAATAAAAAATAGTTTTACATGCAAATAGGACGATCAAGGAAAAACAATTAAAAAACACAGGTTACAATAGTTTTTTTTGTATTTTTTTTTAATTTTTGTGTATATATAAAAATAAAAAAAATTGGTTTAAAAAAATGACGTTCACTTAAAATGAAATAAAACATTTAGGCTAAGAAATAGTTTCTTTTGTGTGTCGAGGAAGTAAATGCAGCAGAAATGTATACAGTAGTAGTTTTGAGCTTAACGAGATTTACAAAAACATGGAGCCGTGGTTTTTAATCGTGGCCATATATCTACTATATACTCAAGGCTCCTGTTATGGTGCTGCTCCATCTCTCATTTGTTTGGGATTGGAAGTGTGCGGAAGATTTTGTTGCTTTGTGTGTTCCCGAACTCTCACTTGAGTTTCTGCTTAATGGGACTTGGCGAAGTTTGGTCCGCCTCGGGCAGGTCGCTCTCCTTCTTGCGCTTGACCTTGTCCTTGGGCGTCTTGGCGGGTTTCTTAGTTTGCAGCGCCAGCTTGGCCTCCCGTTTGGCCTCCTTCTTGGCCTCCCGCTTAGCGCGCAGCTGCTCCGTAATGAAGGAGAACACCAAGTAGCCCTGCAGGGCAATCAGACCGCCCAAGGCTAGCAAGGATCTGACTCCACCAATGCCATAGTACAGGGTGAGCACTCCAATCACTGACGTAGCGAAGCGGATCAGAAAGAAGACGCCATTGTTAACCACTCGCAGCTTGGCCAGTCGCTCCTCGCGATCGAAGACGCCGATCAGCTGGAAGACATGCGACAACAGTTCACTGAAGTAGTGGAGCGTCAGCAAAACCAAAGCCAATCGCTGGAAACTCAGAGTATAGGCCAGGACAATCAAGGTGAAGCCGCTGACCGAGTGCACAATCTTGGGCTGCTGCTCCTCCTTGGTCTTGATCTTCTGGAAGTAAAGCTCCGGCAGCATGTGCAGATAGTAGGCCAGCTGCACAACAAAGTAGAATTTGTGCAGGAAACTCATCGGATGATCGGGAAAGCCCTCCCACAGCTGGGCTACCTGGCCGAGGTAGCCCTCCTTGAGCAAGACATGGGCGCCCCAGACGAAGGACAGTAAATAAAAGGCCACCAGTTGACCGGACTCGTTAAAGCGGGCCAGCTTAAACTTGGACAAATGCAGCTTTTTGCTGATTTTGTCCAGCACGAACTCCTGGATAATTGCGTGCATGATAATGCAGGTAAGGGTGTAGAAGAATATCGCACAGTAGTCCTTGATCCCGGCAATGTAGGTATAGGCCTTGCCATATGGCTGCTCTCTGCTGGGATCCTCGCCGCTGACATTATGATGCAGGGATATAAACGCACTCGCAAACGCTGCCGTCGATTCGTTCATCAGACCAACCACGAAAACCATGGCCACGCAAGATATAATGTCCGCATGGTTTTGGATAACGAACTCGTGGCTTAGGATAGGCGGATTTTTATTGCTGGTCTTGCGACCGAGTCCAGGTTTGATTGCCATCGCTCTGGCAGGTGAAATAACAGGTAATTCAGAAGCTTCTGAAACATGATTTAAATTGGTTAGAAATATAATACTAGTTTCGCACTTTTCGAGTCTCACATGTTCAAAAACTAAGGATCTAAACTAAGGAAAGCTAAGTACCTGAAATATTGTTTGTTATCTATAAGATGTACTGTTAACAGATACTACTGAAAACAGCTTTTACTAAGGATGGTACCTGTTCCATATAAACCATATCCAACAGTAGATACTTTAACTACTCAGCATAAGGTGTTAATAGTAACCGTATTGAACCTAATTTCCTTTTAGCGTATACTGTATTAGGATATTTTGTAATAAATCTGGTGTCAAGTGATATATAGTTGCTCCTATTCGAGTTGTGCCTTATCTTATAACCTACATCTTTTATATTGATATATCCTAGCACGATTAGTGTTAATTACCGCATTAAAATTGTTCCGATGCAACTAAGTTTCGGTCACACGTATTAAAAAAGGATCTTACATCTAACCCACCTTATTTTTTGGCTTGGGATACTGAAGGGATAACTACTGTATTAAAGATGCTCCTCCAACAACAAACACACAATTTGCCGTGTTGGCACTGCACACACATTCTCACAGTCAAGACAGCGCGCCCCCCACACACACACACAGAGACTCCAAAAGACACGCTGGCAAAATTGTTGTTGCATGTTTGCCATTTACTCACAGGATTTATCCGTTTTGGCCAAGACTTCAGGCCAACTGCTGGATTCACAACGTGATATTGCTGACGTAGGCGAGTTGTGCGTTGTGGCACACTGGGTCCGATTCGGGTCTTGATCTGGAACTGAATCGGACACAAACTGAAATGTCTGCTCTGGACGCTCTGCCACTGTTTGGGTTTCACTCCCCCAGGGATGGCGTATCGTGCTCCACATCAGCTCCACTTTTCACACGTTCCGGCACACAATTTATTGATTTTTTTTCATTTTTTATAAAGATTCAATACTGCAGCTTGACTTACACTGCGTTTCTTTGCTCTATTCAATAAAAAAAACCATTTTTTTATTTCACATATTCCAAGCAGATTCCGCTTATTCTAACTTTCGCGCAGCCCTGGAAAGAAATTGCCACGCAGCGAAACACTCTCTCTCCGCTCTCCACTGGTGCCGTCCTATTCGCACGCATGCCGGCTCCTAGCTTCTCGCTCTCGCAAGCGCCACATATGATGATGTGTACATCTAGCTAGGGCTGCAGGGACTGTGACGTTTGGTTGGCGCCAATTCGGTTTTTTTAAACTGATTTTTTTTAAAGAAGGTTCATCCACATATCACTGATTTTCACATAAGGCTTAAGAGTGTTTACTTTTCAGTCAAGATAAGCATTTTACCGAAACATATTTCACTTTATGTGCGTTCAGCCCTGGTTTGTTAGCATAAGACTTTCCATAACCAGGGCTGGCTACGAATCGCATTTTGGGCGCGATATTCAAACTTATTTCAATAACATAAAAAATGTAATATTTTAGGAACAGTCCCATTTTATCTAGGAAGATTGAATGCTAGGGGTAAAAAACGTTTTAACGTACTGAAATATAAAAAAAAAAAAAAATAAAAATTAAACAATTAAACACACTAAAATTAAATTAAAAGGAAACTAAATAAGCTACACAAGAACATAAACATAAACGAGTTTTACTTTTTTGACCGCGGTTTTTATAAAAATCTGCACGGGTATAATAACTAAAAGCATGGAAACGAGCTCAAGGTCACGCTACCCACCGCCCCAAACACCTGCTTCCGGTTCGTTGGCCAAGTTAATTGCATTTTGTACTCACATTGCGATTTCGCTTGCGAACGGAGGACACAATTGTGCGCTTGTTGCGTGCAACCAGGCAAACCGTTATGATCAGAATCACTCCGATGAGGGCGAAGCCCAAAAGAGCGGGCAACAGCACGCTATCCTCATCCTTGTAGCCCTATAAAAAAAAACCAGGTGTTTATAAAGACTGTAAGCGAATTCGCTACTGGGGGCACCCGTTACTCAATCATAAAAACGAATATTCTGGTTACATAAAATGGCCAGAACTAATTTAAATGCCTTTTAAGTTCATATTTTTGGGACTACTCCACCCAGTGAACCGTATGAGTATCGGATAACCCCAACCTCAAAAAATTGCGTGCCACTTACGTCCCACTGAAAGTAGGTTGAGGGATCGATGTAGGGCCAGTGCGTCTTTATCCAAGCGCTGTTGCTCTTCTCGTCATACTGCAGAGTTCCCGAGTCCTGACTCTTCCCATCCGCTTCTGATTGTACTTGCATCCTGGAGTTCTGAGCGGCTCCGTTCTGGATTTGTAGTCCTTGGGCTTTGGCCAGAACAGGTGGTATGATGGGTTTCTTGGCGGCGGATTTAAGCAAGGGGACCTGGATAATTCGCGTCGTGATAGTGGTGGCAGGTGGCATGTATTTTGGAATGGTCACTGCTGGCTCCCTGGTTGTGGTGGTGGTTACTGTTGTTTGAGTGGGAGCTGGCGTAGTTGTAGTGGTGGTGCTGCTGCTGGTTGAAGTGGCTGTCGTGGTAGTGGAGCTACTGGTGGTAATGGAATTCGGATTGGTTTTATTCAAGCGGAGCACAAACTGCTCCACTCCATTGCGGTTGACAATTTGCACATTTCTTCCCACATTCTGCTGCAGCTGAGGTGATCCTGTGGGTAATACGGGATTAGCTGCCGGTTCTCCACCACCTCCCGATCCGCCCCTTTGTGGGCTGTGGATCAGGGCCGCTTTGGTCTTCAAGAACCATTCCGTTGGGTTTGGTAGACATTCGGCAGAAACCAAAAAGGGTATAAGCACTGCTCCAATGATAACGGTGCACACGAAAATAAGGCCCAAGTAGGCAAAGAAGGATCGTCTGCGACGTTGACCCTTGACTTTGACAGATCCCGAAGAAGAGGAGGAAGAACCAGAGGACGAGGCTCCTCCCCCGCCGGAAGCTGAGCGTCCGGAACCGGAAAGTTTGCCCTCGATACGGAAGTCGTCATTCTGCGGTAGAATCGTATACTGCAGACTGTTTTCACCGTGCCTAATGGTCTTATACATGGTGTCCCGTTCTTTTAATCTGTTCCAGAGTCTTCCAGAGCTCCCCTGCTGTTCTGGAGCTTCCCTCACGTATTCTGTTGGATGTTTTTTTTTGTAATTCAGTTCCGTTATTCTATTTTCACTGCAGATCCTTTTTATGTTCGTTGCTTGGTCCTCTTTAGAGGTAATTCCACTTGCTTAGCTTTGCTAAAACAAACACACCAAATGATTTGCCAATGCAGTTTTCTCCTTTATCCCTTTCTCCTTCTTCTTTGTCTTCCTGATGTTATTCTTGTTTTGCTCCTAAAAATGCAACATCTTACACTTCTATTTCTCACTCCAACCTTCGCTCTTGTTTTCTCCCTTTACCTTTCAACGGGTAATACTCAATAATCGCTCACCTATGCTTTTCTGTAGGTCCCCAAGCCAAAAATTCAGTGTCCTTTTTCCACGATTTTGCTACAAATGAATGCTTCGTCCTCTGGTCCTTTACAAAATTTGCTGTGCCTTTTATTAACGTGTCTCGGAAATATTGTTTTTGTTCCTGTTCCTGCTGCTGATGCTCCTTGCGCACTAAATTTTATGTTTTTATTGATTAGGCGTTTGTTGTTTTTTGACGCAAGCGCAGTCTTAAGATTACGTGAAAGTGTTCGAAAGTGCGTAGCACAAAGGACCTTTTTAGTGTTGAGCAGTGAACGCCAGGATTCAAATCCTATTTTTTATTTGTATTAAAAACTTAATTAAGGTAATTGATTTTTAGAAAAACTACCTGAAACGGACTGCTTAAATTATCCCCAATTAATATTATTTGATCAGACATGTCATTAAGTTCAGATCCCTAACTAACAACTAACAGCTACTAGACTCTGCTTCTATTTAAGCAGACTTTGCACCAGAAGATAACAACAACACGATTGTCTAGAGATTGCCCACGATTACTTATAATGCATAGCGGTCCGTGCTAATGGATCAATCAAAAATTGCGTCCGCAGACAGAGCCAGATTTACGAGGTAGTCATATACCAACGGTCGTAAAGTTTCCGCCATTCCATCGATAAGCCAAGGGGGTCGGGATGGGGCTGGTGGTTTATCGGTAGCTTATCGGGGATCGATAAGCTGGGGCCTAAGCAGTTCCTCGCGCAACCTGCATTGGGTTTTCAGTCACGTTAAATAAGCAAAACGGTCAACAATATTTACTGGGAACCTTATATTTTTCTTTGAACCAAAGTACAAAGTTTTTAAAATGGTATTCATTCTGTTCCTTGGTCTGGTCCTTGGGATAATAATAGTGCTGGTGGTCTTGGTGCTGAAGCTACTGGGACTAAAACCTCCATTAATTTTCGATAAATACCCACTGAAAGGTATTTTTTATCGCGTTAAGTTCTGGCTCGCGTTATTGATCCTTCGACACCTGAGATATCGTATATATGAAAGGAATGAGGAGCTACTAGGCTCAACGGAACATCTGGCTAAGATCGACAGACCCCAAGAGCTCAGCAATGATCCAAAAAGCTACGACGTGGTCAGCTTTATGGCTGCCAATAATAAGGGTCAGAAACTGATGGTTACATTGGAGAGAAGAAGGCGGGGAGTTCTAAAAGCTGCCTTGTACCTATGGCTTCCAGAAAGGGGCTTGCTAAGCTCCCCAAATCTGCCCGATATGATTTATTTTACCACTAAAAACGGAGAGGAGAGCAGCGAGTTTCAAGGTGGAGGCTTCCATGTTTATCCGGAGGAATCAATGAAAGTTTGGCGGATTACATACAAAGGTGTGCTGAAGTGTCAAGTAGGAGAGGTGGTGGACAAAATTCCAGTTGACTTGGACCTTCGCTTCAACAGCTCCTCCGCAGAACACTTTGATTATAACAGGGACCTTAGTTCCTCTTTAATAGCTGACTCTGTAGCCAGAGAGGCCTGGAATGAAAAGTTCTACAGCCTGATTCGAGGGGTCAATCACATTGTGGAAAAGCGAGCCCACTATGAGCAGAATGGAGAACTGTCGGGAAAAGTTATCCTCGAGGGCAACGATCTTTTGCTAAAAATGCCTGCTCTTCGGGATCACAGCTTCGGAACAGAACGCTGTCTGAGCTCCATCCACCGATATGTGTACTTTGCCTTGTTCCTGGAGGATGGCACCAGCTTGGTGGTAGGAAATCTCAGCCAGCCCTCCTTTTTCCTCTCTTCCCTAAAGGTTGGCTACGTTTGTACTCCTTCGGGAAAATATCAACCGCTGACCTGGAGCAATTTCGAGCTTTACTCCTACGGCGAAAAGGGAATTCCACCGCAGCATCAGAATTTTATCGTACACACCGAGGACAAGGAGTATCTTATCCAGATTCAAGTGGAGGGATCAGCTTTGCGTTATGTTGGCGGAGATTGGGAGTCCAAAGTGTTCAACCAGTTCGTGTCCTGTGTGGTTAACGGAGTTTCCGGTCAAGGTCACGCCGAGTTCCTGTATAGCCACAAAGAAGGCAGGCCGGAAGATGTATCCTCTAAGGACCCAAGCTGGTACCAGAACATCAAGCGTTTCGAAAGGAACCTGACTTCGCTGGAGGAGGAGGACAGGGAATTTATATTTTAGTGTTTTTTTTTTTTGGTGTCATACGTATATTACAAGAATAAAGACTACGACTTTTTAGTAAACTGTCAACAGAAGTTTTCAAAAGCAAATTAGCTACGCTTATTAAGAAGCTGGAATATGCAATCTTAAAACCCATAAAGATTCAATAAAATATGAAAACAGGTTTATCAAGCGAAGGCCAATAGGTGCAGTTGAAATCAAACCTGTACGATAAGGGAGATTGGAAGACTAGTTGGGCAGTTGGACATTCCTGTGGAGATTCAGAGCACTTAAAACGTTCGGGAAACCCTCGAAAACCAGCAGAGTTAATCGTCAATAAATAAACATGCAGTGGCAAGATTAGTGAAATATTTCGGTTTTTTTTAATAAATAACGGCGTATCGATCGGGGTATATGGGCCTAAAAGACAACGGAGCTATCTTATCGGGTAGTAAAGCTATACAAAGCTAAGACCAGGTGTCACTTACAATCAGAGGTATGTATCTGATTTTAATTTATGGATTCCCTATTATGGACCAGAATATCAATGCCACAATGTCAATTAATGGTTTGCAGATAAGTCCCGGGCATTATGACCCCAGGTATGTCACATATCTGAGCATATACTGTCGATAAGGCAATCGCCAACAGATATTGATTATCGATTTACACAGAATTGGACCATATCGTGAGCTGTTTTTCGAATTAAATTTTAACAAAATCGGATAACTATATCATTTAATGATTTCTTGTCAGAAAATGCAATAAATAAATAGGTTAGGTTGTGACAAATTTCTGATTTCTAATTTCAGAAAAAAGCCTCAAATGCAGTAAATTCGGATTTTAATACTTTTTAAGTAGCTCCAAAGCCATTTGTCATTTTTGGGATTTATTAAAACAACAATATATTGTCGGGCTAACGGATCCTAAATTTCACAGTTGTTTTCATACCAAATTCCGTAATGTTTGAGGTTGAACAAAGTCCGTTGCCCCAGAGGGAAACTAAACCGGATCCGAAGGCAGATGGAATCAGTGAATGTGTGCGTTCTCTGGACACCCAAGCATCCGTTTACAATGCAACGGAATCTACGGAGCCGGCTTTGAGTCCTGCGGATCTGCCTGCCGGAACCCGAAAGGCCTTTCTCCGACACATGATCAGCCAATTGCCGGAATCCGTACAGAATCGAATTAAAGTACTTAAACAAAATCAGCTGCAACAGGTGCGTATTTCGGAGAAGTTTTTTCGAGAGGTCTACGATCTGGAACGGCGATACTACAGTCAGAGTTGCGTCCTTTTCGATACGAGGAGAGATATTTTGGATGGTGTGGTGGAGCCACCCGTCCAAACAGAAAGCTCTTGGCCCGAGGAACCGCAGGATACGTTGCCCCTGGACTTTGAGAACAACGAAGAGCTGCGTCAATTAAAATTGAAATTGACGCCAATAGTGCCAGATTCTTTGGGTATTCCACGCTTTTGGTTGACCGTCTTCCAGAATGTTCCCCTGCTTTCGGAACTGGTTCACGATCATGATGAACCGTTGCTGGAGTGCCTGATGGATGTGCGACTGGCATACGATCAGGATAGCTATACGGTTATCTTCCAGTTTCGACCTAACGGCTTTCTGCACGACTCTTCGCTGCTGCTGACGAAGCGCTATTTCCTGCAGCACTTGGCGGACCAGGACTATCCTTTCTTGTTCGAGGGCCCGGAAATAGTGCGATGCGAGGGTTGCCACATCCACTGGCGCGATGGTTCCAATCTGACTCTCCAAACGGTAGTGAGCCGACGAAGGAACAGAGCCCGCAGTGTCACTAAGGTGATGCCTCGTGAATCTTTCTTTCGTTTCTTTGCTCCGCCGCAGGCTTTGGATTTGTCCCTTGCAGATGAGAAAACCAAGCTGATTCTTGGTAACGACTTTGAAGTGGGTTTCCTGCTGCGTACGCAAATCGTCCCAAAAGCAATTCTCTTCTATACAGGCGATCTGGTGGAGAGCCTGAACGAACCGGATGCTCGCTCCTTGTCCTCCGAAGTGGAGCTGAGGCAGGTTTTGTGAATGCAACAAGTCTTACCATAAACCACTTGTTTACATGATTGTGGTTAGGTTAAATAGTTATCATCTATGATCAACAATATTCTATGGTTTGGGCAAAACCTATACAAATATACAACTTGTTTACAGGATTGTGGTTAGGTTAAATAGTTATCATCTATGATCAACAATATTCTATGGTTTGGGCAAAACCTATACAAATATAAGATAGTATACTTACGATTTTAAATCATGAATATAAAGTGACTTTAAATTTTTTGTCTTATCTTCTAATAGTTTTAATTTTTGATCAACAAAATTTTATAGTTGGACCAAATGCATTACAAACATATTGCTAACCTTAAGCTCAGGGCTACTTAAATATGCTTGTGTAGTATTCCTCCTCCAGGTCGTATAGATCCATTGCCATTTCGTCCCTTAATTTCATAAGCTTTTTATCGCACTCGCTTTGCGTGTTTCTAAACAGTTGGGAATTGTTCGTGATGGCTTCGTTAACCGAGTGAAAATCGTTGAGGATCAAGTACTGCTTAAGGTCTGCCACTAGTTTCATCAATGATTCACCGGCGCGAACTGGAATGAAGGACATATAACAAGAATAACGCTTCGCTTTTCAGGGAAAACTCACCCATATTAGCCGCACGGACCTGCATTTCTAAAGCATCCTGTTCGCATTGCGTAGTCTTCGAAATTTGACTGTGACTTTCCCGGCGTGCCAACTTAAGAATCTCTGGAGCGGATAAAGACATTTATTACTACGTTTTAAGGTGAATTTACAACATTTTTACCATCAAAGTTTTCCAACATGCTGCGAACGTCGTCCTTTAGACGCGCATTGTAAGACTTTAAGAGCGCCTCTTTCGATTGCGGCAATATCGTTGTTCTTGATCCGCTGGCCATTGTCCTGTTGCGCTAACTCTTTTGCCTTGCCTACCTTAAATGCACAGTTTACCAAAGAATTTGTTTATTTGTTAAGAAACCGGCGCCCCTTGTTTTGTTTTCGGTTGAGACACCAGTGGTGGCACCTCTTAAGTTATCGTCAGTGGTAGCACTACTCGTTATCGATAGTCATTTCACTTGCAGTGAATACCAAGCAACAAATATTAAAAAATAGGAAATAAACTCAGTAAGGAGTTTCTGTTAGCAGGACATGTTTTTTTTTAAACAATATGTTGGCTTTCGGTAAATTTATCCCCATTAGTCGAATTGGAATCGTTTTTTGAAGTAGGGCTGCGTGATTTTTGTACATTATCGATATGAAATGTATCGCTCTTGTAGAAACATGTCAAATTGATAAATAAATATTTAAAAACAAATACCTAGAAATTGAATTCCTCATAGCGCCATTAAAGAATTAATGCTACATTCTGATTAATCAAAAAGAAACAAGAACTATCTGGCGAAAAATATTTTTTCGTGTTAAAACTATCGATAGACATGATAGACACTGATATATTTTTCACATCCCTATCACACCTGGGCGAGCGGTTTTACGTATATTTTGTTCGCTTCGCCGTTTTCGACGGCCACAAAAGTGGACGCCTAGTAGTTTGCGTTGGCTCAAAAAAAAGGAGCGACAAGTCTTGCACGGTCTATGCCCCAACATCGGGAAATGACGAAACGCTGTTAACGTCTGAATCGCTGTTTTACGAAGTGTATTCGTGTGTTTGTGTGTGTAAGCTTAGATCTTTTGTTGTACCAAAAAACGCATTTTGTGGAGAAGCGGACAAGGTTTACCTAGAGCCAGGACGACGAAGAACCCTGCCAGCGTGTGATGTTTTAATGCTTAAGTCGATTAGTGGCGGCGTTGGCGTGGCATCCACGGAAAGAAGTGGTGGCGGAGGAGGGGGAGCCGGAGGAGGAGGAGCGGGGGGGCCATCCTCTGGGAGCAGGAGCACCAGCGGAAGTGGGCGTGCCAGTTGTGGGCTGGGCTCTAGTTCGATTTCGAGTGGATTGAGTGCGGTCTGTGGTTTTGTGACAGGCAACGGAGGAGCTGACCGGGATCGGGACAGAGGATTGGCCAGCAGCAGTGGAGGCAGCACTCCCGCCGGGATACCATATTGCCCAGCTTGTGTGGCCACCGCCAACCAACAGAACCCCAGCCAGAACTCTAGTCCCCAGCACGAGGGCTTCTTCTCGCGCAGCTCTTCCAAGTCAAGCAAGCGGAACAAGGCCAGGAAGAGCGCTTCTACTGCCGGCTGCTTGGACGCCCAGCACATCCGAGCGAATCTCCGGATGTCCATGACAAATTCGATGCGGGGCTCAAGGGGTAACAGCAGCAGCGGAGCCGGCTCCTCCTCCTCGCAAGCTCCGTCGAGCAGCAGCTGCAGCAGCAGCGGAGCAGCTGTCTCTGGTTGCGGGCTATCTTACGATGGGGCCAGCACCGCCAGCAGTGGCAGTGGCGGTGGGAGTGGCAAGGCCGCATCGCCGGGAAGTTACAGCTGCAATGCCCTTAATGTGGACTTTACGTCATACACGGCCACCCACCAGTGGACCAGGATGCTCGAGTGTGCCGAGTTTGTGGGAGCCAAGTAAGTGCTACAGCTATACACTTGCCTTTGAAATAAATAATGCAAATTGTTTTCTTTTTGTTTTTGTGAGGCGGAGCAAACACACAGTTGTGGCCTACAAGGATGCGATGTTCGTGTTTGGAGGAGACAACGGCAAGAACATGCTGAACGACCTGATCCGCTTCGGCGTGAAGGACAAGTCTTGGGGGCGGGCGTGCGCGACGGGAACTCCGCCAGCTCCGCGATACCATCACTCGGCTGTAGTGGCCGGAAGCTCAATGTTCATCTTTGGGGGCTACACCGGCGACATCCACTCCAACTCGAATCTGACCAACAAGAACGATCTGTTCGAGTACAAATTTCAAAGCGCTATGTGGGTGGAGTGGAAGTTCTCTGGCCGCCAACCGGTCCCCCGATCCGCGCACGGAGCATCCGTCTACGACAACAAGATGTGGATCTATGCGGGCTACGACGGCAATGCCCGCTTGAACGATATGTGGACGCTGAATCTCACCGGGGAGAATCACCAGTGGGAGGAGGTGGAACAGTTGGGGGATCGTCCTCCCACCTGCTGCAATTTCCCCGTGGCAGTGGCTCGTGACGCCATGTACGTCTTTTCCGGGCAGAGTGGCCTCCAGATTACAAACTCGTTGTTCGAATTCCACTTCAAGACCCGCACCTGGCGGCGCATTTCGAACGAGCCTGTGTTGCGGGGCGCCACCTCAGCACCGCCCTCGCGCAGGTATGGCCACACAATGGTGCACCACGATCGGTTCCTATACGTCTTCGGGGGGCTCGGCAGACTCTACGCTGCCCAACGATCTACACTGCTACGACCTGGACTCGCAGGTGTGGTCCGTCATTCTGCCGGAACAGAACTCGGATGTACCCTCGGGCCGGGTTTTCCATGCCTCAGCCGTCATCTGCGACGCCATGTATATTTTCGGCGGGACCGTTGACAATAGCGTCCGGCGAGGCGACACCTATCGCTTTCAGTTCTCATCGTATCCGAAGTGCACGCTGCGCGACGACTTCGGCAAGTTCTTTCTGGACAAACAGTTCTGCGACATCCAGTTCATTGTGGGAGCGGAGGAGATTCGGATTTTTGCGCATATCGCCTTTGTGGCGGCGCGCTCGAAGTATCTAAGGAACAAGATACTCACTGCTCGCGAGGCGCGCCAGCAGCAGATGGAGAAGGTCTACGGGGTGGGCCAGGTGGATGCACTGGCCCTCAATACGGGCGCGGGTGGGGACCGCGGACCCATGCTGGAGGTGCGACTGGCTCAAGCCTCCCCCGAGGCATTCGACATTATACTAAACTACATTTATACCGATCGCATCGATCTGAAGGACACGTACAGCAAGAACATCATTATTCTCATCACGGACATATACCAACTGGCCGGATTGTTCACCATGCCACGGCTGGCCCACGGCTGCATCCAGTATTTGGACTACAAGATCAACAAGGTCAACGTGCTCGAGGCGCTCTACAATGCTGACAAGAGCAAGTGAGTGGTGTTAATACATTAGATAAACATTTGATAACTTTCGGCCTTAGCATTAAGATCATTAAGGATCACTGCATGCAGTTTATCATCAAGGATGAGAACTACACCGAGGTGGTTATGTCCAGTGAGTTTAGCGATTTAGACAAGCCTCTGCTGGTGGAGATCATTCGCAAGCGTCTTCATCCCAGCAAGCTGGTGATGGACACAAGTTACGAGGCAAACATAGGTGAGCTTGCCGACTTTCTGTCCCATTTTTTCTTTTGCTGAAGAACCACTTTATGCAAGGAACCACCCTGGAGATCGACCTTTGCGCTTTTCTGGAGTCAACCGGCAACGATTTCTGCGACATAAGCCTCGTCCTAGAGGATCATGTGATACCAGCCCATAAGTCGGTTTTGTCATCGCGTTGTACCTACTTTCAGGGAATGTTCAGATCGTTTATGCCCCCGGATAACACCGTCCATGTGAGTGCTGTTTAAAAACTCTGAATTCTGTTTAATTGGCTGCTTAAACTCAATTAATACGTAACTTTTCCCTTTTTCTTAGATCCAAATTGGCGAAATCTCACCCTCGCTGGAGGCGTTCCACTCGCTGCTTCGGTATATTTACTACGGCGAGACAAAGATGCCACCGCAGGATGCACTGTACTTGTTCCAGGCACCCTGCTTTTATGGATTGGCCAACAATCGGCTTCACGCGTTCTGCAAATACTCGCTGGAGCACAATATCACATTCGAAAACGTGCTGCAGACCCTGGAGGCCTCGGACATCACCAAGATCTATGACATCAAAGAGTACGCTCTCAAGCTGATTGTCAAAGATTTTGCCAAGGTTGCAAGGCTGCCAAAAATAGCCGGTTTGTCGCGCGAACTGTTGCTGGAGATCATACGCGCTGTGGCCGATTCGCACGGCGAGTTCCTCACGCGGATCAATATTAATACAGATATCTGAAAACTGGTGCTGCTCCAGCCGGCATTGCAGTTGTTGCTCGCCTGGTTGCAAATCGGACGTAGCACGTAATGCGGCAGTAGCGGTTGGTAGCGCCGAACGACATTATCCATTTACCACTTTTCGGTTCATCCACCCCCTTGATCGTCTACGACTTCACTTGGCCAGTGATTTAAATCGAGCAATCGAGGAGTCGGTATTTATAAATTCATCAGATGTGTTCTATTTATTGGTATGCTGGAGGGGTTAGCAGCTCAGGATATCGAAACCAATTTGAATCTGCACGACTTTTGGGTTTCTGCATAACAATGATATAAAAACTGCTGCTGCCTCATAGCCACAAAGGCCGCACGCACAGTTTACTCACCGTCTACAACCAGCTTTTTATATATGCATAGTTATTATCCTATCTGCACAGCAGTATTAAACCGGAACGCACCTACAATCTATTCGAATGAGATGACATTGAAAACATCCCAGTTAATCGCAATTAATTCGTTGACCTCATCTTTTCCAAAACTCCATTATACTTGTGCTGGGACATTAGAACAGATATTATATTGATTTATGATGGCCTTTTAACATGTTAGAGTGAATTGCGAACTTACACAAGAAGTTATTGTTTTTGAAATTTTAATTTCGGAAAAGGTTAACTTATAAATTACCAGTTAAAAATAAAACACTTCAAGGAAGCCACCAATAAAACCTGGACGGTTTTCAAAGCTCAGCAAAGAATGCTTAAATAAAGCTGGTGAGTAACCACACTCATTATCAAAAATACATAAGTTAATTTAACTTTTTTTCAGATTGAGGGCGCCCTTCTAATTAAACTCAATACACAAAACGTTTTTGAGCAGAAAAAAACAGGTTTTTTTAAAGTTTCATATTCTTTCTAATCTGTAAGTTTGAGCACTCTGGCAAAGTGAAATATTTAAAATGTTTAAATTGTCCTTTTGCTGAACTTAAACTATTTAATATTCCAAAGTCTGGAGGACTAACTTTGCGAGGGACCCTTTTTGTTATACTCCTACCCAAGTACAACCAGTACCAGTTCATAAGGATCTAAATCTTTTAGTGTGTACTTTAATTTATATAGAAGCCGTAAGGTGTATTATCTATGCTAAGGAACCTTTGACCTTGAACCACCTCATTCCTCATCAATGCGCAAATTCTCCTTACACCTACGCAAGAAAAATAATTTAAAGTGAACTTTTATTCGATTGACTTGATTACTCAATACTTGCCCCAAAAGTTTTTTTTTAATTTTTAGTATATGTATATAAATCCTAATTGTGATAAATAACTTTTTATTATGATTATATTGTGACTATTGTTAAGCAGTCTTTGTTTAGACTCTTTAGTTTCATTTCGAATATTTTCGTTATAATTTCGTTTTAGTTGCTGTATGACGAGAATCCAGAATAAAAAATATTATGATACGTATATGCAATCTCTGTTGATGTATGCTAAATGGGAATACGTTGCGGGTTTACCGCTGAACCGAAGGAAAACAATGGAATTCAAGACAAACAAACGGAGCCCACAGTTTTCGGCTGAGTTTTCCCAAGCTGGCTGGGCGTAGATAAATTTATTTGATGGGAATTGAAACAAAACAAAGGCTGCAGCCGAAAGTTGGAGCTGTGAAAGGGGGTGGTGAAACCCAGTCGAAACTGTAGCCAGGAAAATGACGAGGACAGCGCCTCGAGGGTAAGTCCTGCCCAGAGTCGCTTATCAAATGCAAATTACAAAATCAAATATGCCAACGGCAGCAGGCTGGAAGGATATTCTCTTCGATATGGAAATGCCATTTACAGATACATCATCTGACAGTAAGCCGTATTGAATTGAATTGTCAAGGAGCTGGGGTAAATTATTTGGCCATGTCCTGGCCATCCAGGTACACTGGCTCTCCAAGTGGAGCTCATCCCGTTTCGTGTTGCATATTTATGAGGCCATTAGTGCCCGAAGTCCTTCGCATCCTTGGCTTGGCTGGCAGTTGGCAATGGTCAAGGCTCTACTGCAGATTAGTGCAGCTCGGTGGGGGAATTGGTTGTGAATACTCGATTGGCCTATCGGGCACTTGCATACTTAACAGAAACGGGCGTCGGGGATCGATTAGATGAATTACTTTTTAGGACGATATTTGTATTTGGAGTAATAGAATATTCAGGTTATTTTAGCACCATGTTTTGCTATTTACTTATGCATTTTAATGCAATTCGAATTGGGTACGAATATTGATAGCTCATTGGTATTTTTTAACGGCTTAAGATACCATTTATTTTTCGAAGGCCACACCTCGTACATTTATTTTGAAAAAGTTTTGCTTTTTGCCATTTTCCTTGAATGACTTTGCTCCCTCCCTAACATAAAGCTATCGCTTATCATTTGCCAACAAAATGTCAATTATCTGAGCCGGGAAGCCAGGACTCGAAGCCGGCGGCCCTTAAACCCCTTGCCAAATTCTAGTTGGGATTCAACCCTTCTCCGGGGGAGAACAAAACAATCCCAGAGTTCGGAACTCAGGGATAGGGGCTGAACATTCCTAGTCCGCTGTCAATTTATAAGTTCATAATTTAAGCCAACAGCCGGGTCAATCAGCTATATAATACATAGTCAATACGGATGTGAAGTGCCAAGGCAAGGGGCGGAGGGCTAAGATTGGCTCGTTTCATGCTTTTTAATATCCGTTTCATGTGGATTTATGCGCATCAAGTTCACGCTGAGCGACGGCACATAAATTTCATGGCAATTGAAGCAGTTGAGCATCGAAAAAAAAAAAACAGAAAACATTTAATGGCTAGCTGATCGACTTGAAAGTACCTTAAAATATTTTAAGAATTTTTTATTAAGAAAGATATTAGAGTCAAAGTTATAATACTAAAATTAAAAAGTTAATTTTTCCAAAAAATTGTTAGTTTACAGTAACTAAAGAAATATATAAATCATTTGATTTATTTACTTTTACAATGCCTGAAGGTCTCAGTCACCCAAAGTAATGAGCATGGAGAAATAAAGCAGGCAAAAAGGGAAACTACAGCCCTCGAAAAGGGTTAACTGAATTTGGGGGCGGGGCGATTGAGGCCCTGAAAATGAACCGATTTCAGGGTTAGCCCCAAAATTGACTTTTGGCATTTTTCAAAGTTTTTCCCGCATTGCCGCTTATTGATGCCGACCGTTGTGCGGCAACTTCGATTAATTTATAGTGATAAGTATTTGTATCCCGGTCATATGCCCCGTTTTACAGACTACGCCCCTGAATTCGCGTGCCACGCATAAAGTGTTATTTCAGTGGCTCTGATGCCTGATTAAAGTCATCAATTTCCGAATGGAAGGGATTCGATGGGGGATTCGAGGATTGGTGGAGGATTGTACAGAGTGCAACTGCAGCGGTGTTTAATTAAAAAAGCGGCTCCCTCCTAGAGGAGCTTCCCTCGCCTCCCCAGCAATTGGACTTTAATTGGGCGTAAAGACAGACAAAGGTGAAACGGTACAAGGTATGCAAATAAATGGGAATCCGAGTTAATACGGCCTTCGTTAGGCCAGACCTGGCACTGAATCTACGACTTAAACAACACTCTTGAGGTTACTTTATCCTTATGAAGAGTTTAACGGAATAAGCCATCTGGAACCGGGAGATATTCAATAAAACATCAAAACTCCCTACTATTTGTACTACCACAACGAAGAGCAAATACTCAGGAGCAGGCGAAGCGTGAATTAGCCGATATGTTGCCATCGTCCTGGCGATGAAGGAGAAGGATGCGAGGGGAAGCTGGATGCAGGAAGGGAATGCTGATGCCCATGCAGATGCGACGGATGGAAACACGAGGTGGCAGCAGTTGAAAAGTGTGTGACAAATACAAATCCTTTTAGATCTATTCGATGAAATTGTTTAATGATGTCGAAAAGGATTGCCACCAGTTATATTTGTGTAATCGCAATTAAAACTAGCTACTAAATATGACTAGTACTTCCCTTACCGGAAATATTGAATTGATAATATCCTGAATTTCAGTTTATTCCAGTTCTAATCGCTTTTGATTTGGGATCCCTTTTTTATTCACCACATGTTTGAGAACCCCCTGTCTTATGCAACGACTTTGAAATAATGTTCGAAACCGCTGGCGAACTTTGACCCGTTGGTGTGCGGTTCAGCGGTTCAGTGGTTCAGTGGCGTAGGCCGGTTACCCCTGACTTTACCCCTTCCGATATAATCGTCGACGCATAAATCTCAAGACCTGTCCGGCGGCTGCAATTTACGGCACGGCCGTAAATTTTTATAAATGTCCTTGTAAATAAACTGGCAAATATGCTGATTTAGCATATTTCTGATATATGTATGTATGTTTGTGCCCATGTGTGTGCCCGTGTGTGTGTGTGTGTGTGTGTGTGTAGTTGGGGGCGTAGTTCACGATTGTGGTTTATTCCATGTGTTATGTGCGCGGCAGTTTTATTGCAAGGACTTTTGTTTCTGCGCCTGCTGCGTGTCACTTGGGGAATACAAGGCCAGATCGTGTTTTCGTCTTCACATTTCATAATTTTTGAACTATAAAATTCTTAGAGCAAGCGTGTATTATAAGAAAATTGTATAGTATTTGGCTTTTGACCAGACAATGTGGACTAATGTTTTACAGGGTATTCAACCTGTCGACTCTCAAAGCCTTTACGCTCCGTTGTAGTCTCCCTTGGTTGCCTCGTTTTCCCTAAGGGCGCGGGGAAGAAGACAAAAAATAAAACAAGCAAAAAAGGAACAACATTACGTGATAAATAAAAAATGAAAATTTTATGTTGCATTAACTTTCGTTGGCATTGTTGAATCGCATAAACAAAAGCATATGTGTAATAAAATTTATGCATATAAACAACCGATGGCAGCCCACAAAAACCAGCAACAACGACAGACAATGAAAAGCGAGTTAAATATTTGATAAAGCAGCCGTGAAGTTCGCCAAAATGTTTGTTGTTTTATGTTTCTGTCAAAATTTGTTATACGGCTTTTGCTTTTTTGGCTGGCCCAAATGAAAATGCTTACCAGCTTACCAGTTTTAAATAGAAATTGAAGTTCATTTGGGGTGTCTAAACATGTATTTTCAAATCAAGTAACTTAATTAGCATGTAGATAAACTTTAATTGTAATATCAACATCCTTAAACAGATAGGAAAGCTTTTTCCGTGGCGTTTTTAATGAATTTCCCTTATTTTTCATTCAAGTGCTCCGCTGTGATGCGTACGTATATGTGTGCACTTGACATTTTCAATTTGCTGGCAATCAAGCAGCAAAATATGAATTACATTGTTCATGCTATCGAATTCGCTAAGTTTCATAGTTTCTGCACAGCGAGAAAGTATTAAAAGGTTGATATTTCTAAAATCAAATTTGTTTCCATAAGTACTGCAGGAAGATTTGTTTCTACCAAATTTCAAGAAATTTCAAAGAACATATAAGGAATGGTATGACAAACTGGGTTTTCTCTGAGTGGCCAGGCAAAATGAAGTCCTTTCTTCCTTGCAGAACTGGCTCATTTGTCAGGAGCTCTTGCAAGGGATTATTAATGGTTCTTCGGCTGGACAAGTCCGCCACTTTATTCCCGGAACGCCCTTTCTGGTTTGTGGAATATGCACAATTGAACAAAAACGTAGAGATGACCCCCAAATGGCGAAAAACGGGCTTGAAAATGAAAATACATAACTGGCCGCAATAATTTTTATCTCTAGGTTTGCTGCAATGTAAACCGGGCGTATACGTAACGTATTAACGTATACGTAATATTAACGTATACGTAATATTAATGTATACGTAATATTTAGTTTAAATTTTTTATTGTTTCAGGGGAAAAAGAAGCGTTGCGTGTAAACTTGTCAAAGCCATAACATGTGGCACTGTTTTCGAGATATTCAGTTACTATTGCAATTGGTTGCCAAATTTCCTTTGTTTCCTGTATGATCTTGGTTTCTACGCAACGGAAACTGCATTTTCATGCAGCCGTTTTTGTTCCAGTCTTTGTCCGGTTATTGCAGCTTAAAGTGCAAGACGTGCCAGGAGTTTCCTTCAAATTTTTATTCCTTCGTTGCTGGGGCAAGACAAATTCCCATTAGCGCTTCTGCCTCCCACACACAAGCACAGAGCAAAATGTGGTGGCCTTTCCATTTTCATATATATTCACTAATGCTTAATGCGAATTTCTTGCAATAATCGTTTCCACAGTTAAAGCTAGAGGATTTAAATAATTTTGTTGGATGTTTATGGGGAGTAAAATGATAGATATTGCGAGGTCTACGATGTTCCTTGTCAAACTGAAGTACAATTTCTCCCTGTGCACACAGAAAGAAAAACATGCGACCCACCGCCCAATTGCCGCCCGCTTTGAAACTCTGCTTT